AATTCCTCATATTCATATCTAAATATCAAATTCTGTTTAAAGCGGTGCGGGAGGGGGCGTGGTGGGTAGCTTGCATTTACCAGTAAATTATGACATCACCAATGACAGGGTGACACAATGAATTCAATAAAATATTGCAAAAATAGGTGTTAATACTTACTTTGCCAGCTAAGCTCAAAAGGGAGAGTATCGGACTTGTAATCCAAGGGTCGCTGGTTCAATCCTCGGTCGAGGAGAAATTTCTCCGTGACAACTGATCTCGGACATTGTGTCTTATGGTTAATTGCCTCTCACTGATGATTAAGAAACATGTGGTGTTAATCGTCGGTTAGTAGCGGAGAAATTGGTTATAATCCAAGAAACTCGCTAAGGTAGACAGACCGCCGCCGTGATATAACCAAACATGTGGAAAGTCTCGGTAAAAACCAACAAGCAATTGACAGCAATACATACAGGTGTTTATAGAACAGAACAGAAAAATGAGCCGCGTCACGACAAAACCAACATAGTGCGTTTGCGACCAGCATGGATCCAGACCATCCTGCGCATCCGCGCAGTCTGATCAGGATCCATGCTGTTCGCTATCGGTTTCTGTACTTGTAATAGGGTTGGTAAGCGAACAGCATGGATCCAGATCAGACTGCGCAGATGCGCAGGCTGGTCTGGATCCATGCTGGTCGCAAACCCATTATGTTGGTTTTGTCATGACGCGGTTCAAATGTATTCAAGTTTTGTACATATATAAAAGCGATAAAATATTAATCCCCAGCGTACATAATTATGTTCGTTTCAAATATCATAAATAATTTATTGACTTTCAATTAATTATAATAAAAAAACCTACTTACGAAGAAAACATGTATATTCTTCTAATTTGTTAAATTGTATGTTGTTAATCGACGAAACTCGTTGCTTATTCACACATTATTTTATAGCATCATAATTAAATGAAGCCAATGTTGATTAAAGGGATATTCAGGCAAAATAATGACAAAAATATTAAAATGATCTTTTGTAATCAACTCGCGCTAAAATGACATTTCTAAAAGTTTCAGCATGAATTTCTCTTTAAATTCTATATATTTTGGATTTGAAACATAAATATATCTATATATGTTGAACAAAATTTAGACGCCAATAGAATCACCGAATAGTTTGAAAACAAGTCAGGTAACTTGAACAAATCCTTGAAGTTATATTAACAGATACTGTGGATATTGTATGATTGAAATAAGTCAAAATCATTCATTCGATATGTTCTTTAACGTTTCCAGAGTTCACTGTGACAACTATTGTGAAATCCTAGCGCTCTAACTTGACCCACGCGGGTCAGGTTAGGGAAGCACCATTTTATTCTTTATATGGAGAAAAGTTTTGTTCCTTTGACTGTCTAATATATTCATTTTGAGGGCTTTTACAGAATCAGGAATGGAAAATTCAAAACTGAGAAATGAAAATTTGTCTGTGTAAATATCACGTGAAATACTGCAATTATATTTATTTGAAACACTAACAAACTTTAGGAATATTAAAGTCGGTGTTACAACGACAAAATTATTATAAGTCGAAGTTTCAGATTTTGCCGAACTCGAAAAAAGTTCACATTCGTTTCACTGAACGCTCGTTGTAATTTTTTGAATACTTTCGTCAAAGTTTAAAATTAAAGAATAATTTGATGATAATCTTACATGTATATACTGCATCAAGCCGATGGTAGGGTGGTGAAATTAAAGAGCCTGGTTGGTTTAACGCTCGAGGTTGACAAACGTCGTTGTTAAAGTAAGAAAGCCGAAGTTGTTCAAGAATCACCGTCGAGAAGAACAAATGAGATGTGAAATAGTTTCGTGCGTCAATGTCGATTTTAATGACGAAGCTGTTAATAAGGACATCGTCCAGTAGGGCTATGTGAAATCTGAAATAGTTTCGTCGTTTAAATAATGCCGATATTGAGCACGAAGTTGTTAATAATGACGCTGATGATAAAATGACCGATGTTAATATTGAAATCGTCGCCGAACTGATAATAAGATCTTCATTGTCTTGGTCGAACTTGTTGACAATAAAGAAGTTAAATTAGTTTCCAGCAGCGTAAAGGTGAAGTGTTGATAACAGTTGTCATATTTACATAAGTTCTTTTTATTTTAGCTCATTCAAAGTTAAACAAATTCTCTTAATCAATTTTACAATCTGCCTTTAAGTCTAGGTAACTGTAGCATATCCGATTATACCTTTAAACTTTCATAAAGCGTCGTTGCGACATAGATGTGTAATGGCACAACAGATTCGAACTCGTTTATGCGTCATATACAGTAGACCTTTGATTATTTTCAAGACAACATTAACTTACTTAATTGGTTGAAAATGTTTATTCCTATATCAGGGTACAACGACTGTAATAAAAACGATGAAAGTATTTTAAATTTATATAGATCTATTAATATTATGTTCTGCAAAATTACATGATTGTTCGTTTCAGTTAAGGAAGCACGTCAAAGCGGTTTTAACTGCTGAAATACAAAAGGCTTTACTCAGAGTAGTTGTAAAGGCGATGCTAGTTGTCTCCCCCAAATGTCTGTCTTGCTGCAATGACTTCGTAATAGTGTTTACTTATCAAGGGAAGTAACCCCAGTAAGCAATTTCTCTCAGTATCACAAAAAGCATTTTACTAAGGAAACTTAGTTGTGCCCCTTGGCTTTCAATTCTTCTCTGATGTATATCTTACCCTGAAAGTATTGTATTAGCATCTATAGATAAAATGAAAATAAATAAAAAAGTATCTTTAACACAATATTATACATGTTGCAATGCCGTTAAACAATTAATAGCGTCATTCTTCTGCTTCGTTTAGTAATTAGTGTTCTTTTCAATGTTTAAACATATAACACCGTTCGAGGTCAATTTTTTGAATATAGAATTTTTCTCTCAATTAAGTTTTGCAACGAATATTAGTTGAGAAAATACTATATACTGTTTTGCTTTAATAAATAGTACTGATCATATCAAACAACTAGATAATTGTAACATTGCCTTAATAGCATCAAATACATTGATTTTTTCGTGTTATTTTTTTTTTACTCCTTTTTTTTCAAATGAACTAAATTGATTTCTATGGTACGCCTGAAATGCTTTTAATTATGGCAGTTAATGTTTTCCATAGATTTCATATTATGAAAATGTATGGTGAACATGTAGCAAATAGATACCAAACTTTATGTTATGCTTTTCAACGACTATTTTGATAAATGTCAAACTGACTGAAACTTAAGGTCTTTTGGCGCCAAATTTTGATATCGTCTGACTAGTAAAATGGAAAAGCTTTAAAATAGATAACAACATAAAATACAATGAAAATTAGTGTCCCTTTTAGTGAATATGGAATTTAGTTCAATTAGACATGAAAATTTTCTCAATTTTTTTCACACGCGCGAAAAAAAATATTTGAAGACTTATTTCTTTGTGACATAATGTTTTTATTCACTGAAAACAAAAAAAGAAAGATGTTCTCTATTTTGAATGGTATTTGAATTATCGTGTTTATTCTACTTCTTCTTCTTCTTCTTCTTCTTCTTCTTCTTCTTCTTCTTCTTCTTCTTCTTCTTCTTATTATTATTATTATTATTATTATCATTATTATTATTATTATTATTATTATTATTATTATTATTATCATCATTATTATTATTACACATATTATTATTATTATTATTATTACTCGATAAAAGTCAGTGGTGAATAGATTTTACATATTGCATCACATTTTGTCAAAATGATAATTTTATATATACATGTATTCTGGTGAATATTGCATACTTTTCTAATTATCTTTGGAATTGAAAATTTCAGCATTGACAAGTTCGTTCTCATCTTTCTTCAACAAAGAAAACAATAAAAACACGCATGTTGACATGTCTATAAATGCTTTTATGAAAACAAAAAGGGGAACTAGTTATTGTAAATGTCAACAGGAAACGCAGGCCTTTGGGGTTACCTTTTGTTGTGCAGAGAGTAATTTTGTGTACGGGATACAAAATTTAATGTGCTATTGGTGTTGTTAATTCAATAACGTTTTGTTACAACAAGGATAGTCTATTGTTGTTTTTGTTTCTTTGAATGGATCTGATTTTATAGTAGACAATACTGATATGACTTGTTGTGATAAAAGCCGACTATTACTATTCAACGAGAGTTGCATTTTAACTTTAAATGTCATATGACGATTTTTCAGCTTTATAGCAAGATCTCAGGTGCTCCTCTGTGCACAATTCCAGGTACAAGCTAGCACCTAAGTAGTACAACAGTTGTTTCGTAAGCTAGCTGGATGGTTTCCTCACATGTAATATTCCAAAGTTCCTGACAGGATTCGAACTCACATCGGTAAAGGTCAAGCGGTTCGAGCTCAGTGAGCTTCAACACTTGGTCAAAGACATAACCCCTTAAAGTTGCACAATTAAATTTTGATTCAATCTAAATGATCTTGAAGAGCAAATGCGTTTTGTATGTACATGTATAAATAAAGGTAATAAGATAACTCTCTACGCAGTTGAGTGGTTAAAGTTACCGTCTTGGGTTCAAATCCCGTCAGAGACTTTTGATTATTTCATGTGAGGAAGCTATCCAACTAGCTTACGGAAGGTCAATGGTTATATTCAAATAGCCGTTCGCGCCTTAAATAATTCATGGAGTACCGCCTGAGATCTTCCCCCTACCAGTACAGCTGGAGAGTCAACGTATCCCCTCTACAGTGCAAGTGTTACTTAAAATCCAACAAAACCCTAAGTTGTCGACTTTTTAAATGGATTTGTCCAGATTTAGATTTGGAACGGTCCATTAGAATTGAAAGGGGAATCGGTATCGAAATACTAAAACTAAACAGAGCAAACGTGTGCTGACTGGCCAAGATTCATAATGTTGGCATACGATTTTCCTTATCAAGGCAATCGCTCAAAAGGATAGGGCTGTAGAATAAGATCAAGTAAAAAATGTTCAGTAAAACAAACAGCTCTTTTTCTTGTAATAAATATTTGCTTTTATTTCTTTTGCCTTGAAGTTTACAATAAAAGTTCCGATCTATTCAAGAAACCAAACAACAAAATAATAAACAACGATACTGATCAAATCACAAAATCATACTGCATACACTGTTCAGTACACCATACAATTTAAACGTTTTGTTTTTAATTTTACGACATCTGTTTTAGATTTTACGACATTTGTATTAAAGGCAACGACTTTCTATTCAATTCATCAAGCTAGCTATCAAATAAGTTAAAATATGCCCTCAATAATTAACGCTTAACAATTCTTTTGAAAAGCCTACATGAAATGCATCATTTATAATAAAATATTTTTTATTCATTAAATTTTCAATTTATAAACTAAAAAGAGAGTGAATAAAATCCATTTAATCATTTCAAATTATATGATATATATTCACATTCATACACATTTGGCAATCACACATCGTACCCTAATTTCAATTTCCTTTAAAAAAACAAAAACAAAAACAACAAAAAGTTTGTCAGTTTTGCTTGAATTAAACCATATGCATATATTTTAAATTTTTAATTCTTTAATACAACAAAAAATTGTCAGAAGAATTTATTAAAAGTATATCTTAATTACATAGCTTGTTAGTATTAGAATAAACTGCCAATATAACGTGACATTACGAAATAGAAATATGTAGTACTGTGTTGAACAATCAGTAAAAGTCACTCTTATGCATATATAAAAATATTTATATTTATATCAATATTCATTTTTTAAATATTTTGTTATCGTAAATCGAGTATCGTTGAATTTTCAAACAAAATTTTGTGATTTTAGGAAAATCGATTCTATGATTATATTATATAATGACAGACAATCTTTAAAAAAGGTTCTGACATTAAATATTTGTTTGATTAATGCAGAAAATGGATACCCAGAGAGAATTACAGTTTTTATTCAATATTTAAATGTTTCCTGTGTTCATTTTATGTCATCGTTTCCCAGTTTTTAATGTCTTTAAATGAAATTTAGCCATGGTAGATTTGATCTTATCCGTCCGTTGTCGGTAATGTTAACAGCGGGATGTTTATACGCGTTCCCAGACGACAATATCGCACGTGATATCCTAGTAACAGGATATGACGGACCAATAGCATTGTCGCTGCCGCTTTTCTTCATGGCTGCGTGTCGACAAAAAGTTCAACAAATGGCTTTTTTCCTTGAACAACATGCGCATTAGCGGCCCGGCAAGATCCTGTTGTATCTGGGTCGGAATTCCCTGGAAAGAGAGAATAATTGAAATTTAGATATACACAAATTAGAATACAATACAATATCTATTAACAGAATATTGTAAATGGATCACCCGGTTGATGAAAGAATCATCGGCAATTCTTCTGTTAAATTGTCGATTGAATGAACTTTGAGACACATTTGTTTTAAACAAATCTATAATTTTTTCTTACCACGTTGACATATGCAAATTAATAAAGAAAACATAAAATGATTGTTTTGCCTGAGATTGACCAAATAGATGTGGTCATATCAACAATGTTCGAATATGATTTCAGGAATGGGCGAAAGTCTTAATTAATATCGTCGGTTATCTGCCGTTATCCACTTATAAATGTGTTTGAATAAAGTATGAATTTTCTTTGGTTTAATATCAGCCATTTATTATTATTATTATTATTAATGATATTCTTTTTCATTTATAGGCTTTTGAATAAGAAAAATGCTTTCCAAATTACAATTAGATAGTTAACAAGACATTTCCTTATTAATGTTTACTTTTTCTTTTAATATTCCAGGTATCAAAGAGCTTGAAATGTCTTCCATCAAGAAAAAAAAGGATTGACAACTATTTACATCTATCAACTACATATTTATGTCTACTTATTCATCATTAACGCATGTTAATTCGGAGTCAGTCCCATCTATAGCTTGCATATCAAAGGCAGGTGCGACAAGATACCTTACAATATATCTAAAGTTTATTGCAGGTGATGAAACTAGATCAAATGCTAAACGTAATAATCCCATCTGCGATTTGCAAACGTAATTTGAAGTAAAACATATTTTGTATGATTAAAATCTACGCCAAAGTCATAAAAATTGTATCAAATTAAGATTGTTATCCTTTTTAAAATGTCGTCTGCTACTGAAACAGACGACTTATTTTCATTGATATATTTCAAAAGATACTTCTATAAAATGATTTAATCGGTATGCATGGGACCTGGAATTTGACGATGAAATTTGTTTTTGTTAAATTTTAAAAAAAAGCACCAAATCAGTATCAATTAAAATCGTGAAATTCTACAATAAACAAAATTAAAGTTAAGGATGTTCTTTGAACTCCATATGAATCGTTTCTAGATATATTTTTTTTTCAAAATGGCTTGACTAATTAATTAAAGCAAATCAATAGATTTTAAAGTAATATTTCTTAAAATCTTTCGAAAAGTCATGTCAAAATTTTTAATGTTAATTTAATGTGTTTTAAGACCAAAATATTATATATCATTGTAATTTTAAGACCAAATTATTATATATTGTATGTTTATAATGAAAATAATGCAATGAATTAGTACCTGTATATCTCGTCTGCTTCTTGAGGAAATTCTTTGTTGTCGGTATCCAGTCAGCACAGGGCTGGAGAAAGCAGACGACACTGTTAACACAAACAACAGCACATAGATAACCATATGGTCGAATTTGAGCATTTCCAGTCTATCACCGTGTTTCCTTTCTTGTAGTTCCCGACGAGTCTTTTCTCCAAAATTTGCTTTAATTTCAAATAAATCGAAATTAGTGTTCTTTGACCGCAGAGTAAATGTCAAATCCTAGCTGTCGTTTTTTACTGTTTTGACGTTTTAAATACTTTTCGGTAACTTTTATTAATATTTCTAAACGATATTTGTAAGCGCGTCTCTTTTTTTATTTCATCAAATTCAGAAGAAACGCGAGCTTAAATTTTCAATATAGTTTTATCTTTCCTCTTCAGTCACCGACAGCTGATCTCAAAATGGTAATGGAAAACTTTGTCGGTGACTTATGAATAAATAGAGCTCTGCAAAATGGGAAGAGCGTTGTTAAAGTTGCTGTCTATTTGACGATCTCTGATCACCTTTCAAGCCATTGGTCAATTGGTTTTGGCCAGTTCTTGTGATAATTAGAGGCGTTCCAAGTTTTGCTATTATACTGCAATAAGGCTATTCATTTTTTTTCTTCCTATGAATTGGAAAATGTGTCCATTATTTTTTAACTGAAAAAAATATTTGATTAACGTTCTTCCACAAATATGTGTGCATACTGATAAAATTTTATCCTATTGAAAACTTTTAACACAGCCTCTTTCATGTTCATTAACTACTAGACTAATGTCTTTATTTTTTACAGGTACCTGTATGTGAGTGATGATTTATTTATTTATTTATTTATTTATTTATTTATTTATTTATTTATTTATTTATTTATTTATCTATTTATTTATTTATTTATTGTAATTCATTTCATTTCATTTTGTCTTATTTTAATATTAATAAAGTAAGAAACACTTTCTAATAGTCACATTATTTCGTTACACATCTTAAAGATTTACTATGCTCAAATTTGATTTTTAGAAAATATTGATAATTGTCATATACGCAGTCTCTTTGTAAATATTAAATGAACATGTTTTGACTTCACACAAAGAATATACATTATGTTTAAAATTTTACACACTGTTGAGGAAACATCAACATTATCTAAGTCAAATAATGCCAGAAATATAATATGTTAGCATTCTACTTTTTCAGGAATCTCATTTTCGTTCTAACACTGTTTAAATTGACCACTTTAAAAAAACTTCTGTCCGCTGGCGGGTAGCATATCCTTAATCCTCCCGCCAAGAAGTGAGGTCCTAGAGAATACACAAAAATAACTATAAAAATCATCATATTACACACAAAAACTACATAGATGCAATAAGTACAGTAGACAGATAGGACCAATCAAACCAGACATGACCAAAATTGGGACACTTCAAAATGTTCAAGAACTATTTTCTAGACTACATCGGGTTGGGTCTAATGACACCCTAAGTAGTATTTATTAAATGTGAATTGCTAAAAAAACAGTCATATTGAACAATTATTCTTTGTTATGGTTGTGACTATATGAGATGAGATGACACGGTGGCGTAGTAAAATTTAAATGTTTGCAGTATATCCCCTCCATTTCTTTATAGAAAACTCCGTGAATAGTATACAGAGGAATACCAGAAAAACTGGAAAGTCGCCATATTACAAGTGTCGGCATGACCTCAAACACAACAAAAGAAAGGGGAAAAAAGAATTTAGTTCATGTACGAGTATAATTGTTTTTGTATTAAAGGAACTCTACTGAGGTTTATAAGCCTAAAAACATAAAATTTTAATTTCTCACATAGATTAACTGGTGCCCTTAAAAGTTAAAACAGAAATATTTATAAAATATAACTAAAAAAGATACTCAGAAATACAATGAAAATCGAACGTTTGTGATTTTGCAACGCTTTTCAATTTGGGGTGATTTTTCACGATTAGAATAAATGTTCTGGAAAAACGGAGTGAGCTCATGATTTAAAATTTTGCACATAATTTGTTGGTATATACTTTCATCAAATGAAGTAATAATCTCGGAAAATTATTTCCAGTCCGGTCACGTCAAAAAAGCCCCAGTGGTGTCCCTTTAAACATACATACAACATGTATATAGACAAAAGATGAAGAAGAAAAAACACCATATAGCAAAGAGACAGAAATATAACAAAATAACAACATTTTAATATTACTAACACTCACAGTAAAATGTAACCATAACAACGATTTCGTACAAAAATAGACAACCGTAATCTTGCACAAATGTATCATGTATATATAACATGTATAATATAATCAATAGATTGCTATGACATCTGTGAGTAAGTCAAGATGAACATACCGACCGCAAGTTGTTTCTTTCTTGGAAAAAACAGAAACTTTAATTCAAATAGAAAATCAATGATTTAGCTTTTAACTACGTTTTTTTTTCGGACAAAATGTTACTTTAACTAGCATTTAATTTATTCATATTACCTCTTTTGAGATTGAGATTTATTGGCAATTATTTGAACCACTCTTCCGAGTTTTAGCAAGTGCTGATATCACATGAGGAAGCGGGTCCGTGACCCAAGTAGGACTCGATCTAACGATTCATGGGTTAAGAGTCAGACATTTTATCCAAAACGCCTCCCCGATGAGTTAAGATTACTAAAACATAGAACTAAATATAACTTACAAGTTATCACTGTTTGGTGGTATGATTGTGCCAGATTAACATATGGTTGTGAAGTATAGGGTGTATATAAAAATAAAAAAAAGTTTACAAGCTACATTTTGTAAATAAAGTTTAGGGGATAAATAATTTGGTCTTTTGAATTAATGGAAGGTTTGTAATGCATAAATTAAATCATAACGTTGATAGTATTTTGTATCAGACATAACAAGAAACCATTAATATATAAATAACACATGGGTTTGTGAGTAACAGTAAAAATATCATCCCGAGGAAAATACTGTTACCCGAGGCGTAGCCGAGGGTAACAGTATTTTTACGAGGGATGATATTTTTACTGTTACTCACAAACCCATGTGTTATTTATTTTATTACCCCGAACAAATACTGTGATGATCTGAATTTGTCAACTAAATCTAACTGTAACAAAAATAAGCCAAGAGAAGCAGTAACTAAACTGTCCTTACCTTGCACGTTTTAAGTGCACTGTAGGCCTACTTGAGAAGCTGTTTTTTCTTTTATTCTTTAGGCAAGTGATGATATCTACCAGTCATAAACATAAAATAAGCTGTGTTTTATTCAGAAAACAAAACACTAACCCATTTATAAGGTTATGATCTGTGAAATCTGATCCTTCTGCATCCAGAATATTCTTCGCATGGTTTTTGACAAAGTGCATTTAGAAAATAACGATGATATCCTACAGATGTCTGTCCACCAACTCTATCTGTAACGTTTCACTGGTTAAAATTGTTAAATTATCCTTTGGTGCATGCTTTATTTGTCTGCATGTTCCAGTTTGACACAAAATTATTTACATTACAATTACTTCCGTTGAAAACGGATGTTTCCTGTTGACTATTCAACAAAAAGATATTTAATACGCGAAAGGGACTCTAGGGTGCAAAGAACTAAATTTTATCAGAGTAATAGTTACTTCGGCGATGCCCTATCGTCGAAAATAAGAATGAATCGAGAAAAAAATGGCGGCCATTTTATTTCATTTTATTTAGAAAATAGACCACGTGACCAGATTTTATACTGTTAAAAAATACTGTTACCTATGTAACAGTACAAAATTCGTAGTCACGTGGTACACTTGCATTAACAGTAAGAATAACTCCCAGAGGCCTATGGGAAATTAACATTACGAAAAAAGTGAGGGGTAATAATTAATAATTACATAAGGCAAGTGCGAGATACATGATCCGATATGATATATATTTATAGTGCTAAAAATAAGACGTTTTAGAACAAAATACATATTGTATTAACATTCATCATATAAACGTTCATACTAAATCACTTAAAACAAAAACATGTTTGCACAACATTTATGATACATTTTAATTGTGTTTTTTTAATCACTATTTTAAAATTTTAAATACTTATGGAAATTATGCCCATTGTAGAACAAACTACTTTAATAACTTAACACACCAACATTAAAGATCCTGTATGTTTTGTGACTGATATTATAACTGTGTGTATACCACTCTTGCAAAACATTATATATGTATGTAATTATGCAAATAAAACAATTTTCAAACATCGAAGAATATGTGAAATGTGTACTGCAAATATTTGTGCACATTGTATTTAATCAGTAAATTACATGCATTCATTTCTTATTGGAAAATTTGACTTAGAATTTATAGAAAATAAATTTCTAATTACCTCATTTTATTTACATGAAATGTTAAATTGGGTAATATCTTTATAAATAATACTTATTGGAACTTACAATATTGACAAATCTTAATTTGAGCATCATATTTATGAAATAAAACCATGAAAATTGTGTTACAGGATCTTTAATTATGCTGTTTATGATGAACTTGGCCGGTTTCCTTTGTCAGTTATTTGTAAAGAACGTACCGTTTACTTTGGGCTTTAAAAATGATGAAAAACAATAATTTACATATAAATGATATGCACACATTTAGATCAATTAATGTGACACAATATTTCCGTTGTATTTTGCGCAAAAAGAATGAATTCCATAGTTGGTCATTTAGGATTTTCTGATGTTAAATTTATTTTGATACCAATATGGTTTATTTCAATATATTTAATTGTCAATTACGGTCCGTGCCTACGCTAAAAGACATAACATGTTAACATGTAGTGATTTGATGCTGGGAGCTGTTGACTATGTTTATTCCAATATATTGAGTAAAAGTTTCAAATAAATTAGGTAAATTTATGGATAAAAAAGGAAACAGTACATTATTTATACAATGTATACTTATAAATAAGGCAAAAGAATCGAAATCAGTGCGCATTTTTAAATTGATTATGAATTGTAAGACATATTTTCGATATTATAGTAATGTTACCGAAAATGTCTTCATTTGTCTTGGGGTGTCAAACATCCATTTATTATTTTCCACCCTCAGTTATTGATTATATCTAAAACCACGTGGTAGAACCATTTATATTCCGTATTTAGTCCGAGATTGTCATGAGTAATATTCCAAGTGTACAAACTATTTTGAATACTCTTCAAAATAACCATGACCTTTGTCTGATGCACGTTCACTGATAAACTGTTATATACAACAGTCTAAAAACTGAAATAATTCATAAACATCTAAGTTGAAAAACAGGATAAAGCCATCCCAAATATTTTCAACATGTAATTATATAAACACATTTTTAAATATAAAGATAACTCGCTCTTTCATCGGTTTATTAGTTCCCTTACTTTATGATTTCACTGGAAATTCAGTTCAAATTTGTCAAACTCCTTTTCTTCACATCGAACACCGTTGGTTTACATCGAACACCGTTGGTTCACATCGAACACCGTTGGTTCACATCGAACACCGTTGGTTCACATCGAACACTGTTGGATGGTTTCAATGATCAAACAAAATACCCATGGATGCTTTT